ATCAATTCCCATTTATATTTCGGCCTTGAGGGTTAAGTGGAGTTTTCAAAAGCTCTTTGGTAAATAGGTCTTATTTCCATAGCCTGGAGAAGTAAATCAGTACATTTTTGTTGAATTGGTTACTTACTAGGTCAAGGATGTAGTGGGTAACATGTAGCAAGCTATAACCTGGCCACATAGCCTGAACTAATGTAAGTGATACCATCCATCAGAAACCTCTGAGAAATCTGTTGGAAAATTAGCTTATTCCCTGGCTCCCCTCTCTCAGCCTGTATAGTGAGGGCCTTGGTGTGCTGGACCCTGCCCATTTCTAGCTGCATCGCTGGCCCTCACCCTTTCTGCCACCACGTCCACTGCTTGCTCCCCCTCCGGGCCACCTGGAGCATGTCCGAGACTCCACCAGCGTGCCTTTTCTGCGCGGAGGCTCCTTTCTGTGGATAGAGGCTGTTCTTCTTTACTCCCTTCCCCTCGAGCGTGTCTGCGAACACTTAGGTCTGCGTGTGCTGAGCCCTAGCCTGCACCACAGTGGGCTGCTCGTCCGGTGTGACTGATGAGATGGGTGTGACAAGTTTTGAAAGAAGTCTTTAAAGGAAGCAGATGCACAACCTCGCCCAGTGTCTGTTGTCAATGTATTGTCGTAACATTTAGTTGAATTTTAGACAAAACTGAAGGTTGAGTTTGTACGGCCTTATGCTTCTACACCCTAGAAGTCACTGCTGCTGAGTGTGAATGAGATGTGGTATTGGAGCTGATAGTGGGTAGTGAACTACTATTGTCTGTGGTCTGTGCCTGCCTGCTGTTCTGCACAGTGTTAGGTACTGCAGTGAGGGGGGGCCATGGGTCCCGCCTTGAAGAACTGTAAGCTGGGTAACCAGGGCTGCAGATGATGCCCATGCGGGGTCGAAAGGAGTGGATGTCACAGGAGGTACTGCTGAAGGGATCCTTACCACCTTGGAGCAAGGAGGAAGGCTGGTTCTGGAGGGATAGAAACATTTGGGTCTGGTACAGTGTGGGGGAAGGGCCCTTCAGGCAAGGAGCTCACGGGAGCAGATCTGTCCGTGGAAAAGAACAGAAATTGGACGAGGCCTGGCAACCAGCTTGATTCAGCTGTGCCATTGAAGCAAGCGTCACAGTCTTTGCAAGCACACAACAAAGCGAATGGGAATTTGCTTAGTAACAGATCTTTCAGGCTTACATTGTTGAGGGAAAGAGGAGTGGTTAGGCAGAGGAGGAGGCC